GTCGCTTTTTCATGTTTGACCCCCACACCCGCGCCAAGGCCCGGTCAATCTTGTGGGACATCCAAACATTGCCCGGGAAAAGTTTAAAAGGTCAGATCACAAGTTCCAAAGGTGGAGTCTCGCGATGAAGAGCCGGCATCCGAAACTGAGTTTGGCGACTCTTGCCCATCTTCGCCAGGTTCAGGAAGGCCCACTCATCGTCGCCCTCGCCCTTGCCGCTGCGGTCGTCCTCGCTGATGGCGTAGCTGCCATGTGTGCTCCGGTGGGCCTCCGTGCGGAGAAAACCGAGTCAAGTACCGGGCTTTGACTTCTGGAGACGTCGAGGTTTAGGGCCGCAGACCCCCAAAAAACACGAGAAGAAAAACAAGGCACGCAAGCAAGCAAGCCAAGCCAAAGCCAAGCAGCGCGCAGTGCGAAGCAATGCGAAGCAGTGCAAGCAAACAAACAAGGAAGCAAATCTCGCATGCATGTGAACAACACACATGCACAGCCATAAAAAGTCAAGTGCCAGCTTGCATGCCCTCACACTGGAACTGGGACGATGTCACTGGAGAAGCCAGTGAGCATTGACATCTAGCCACTGACTGAGATGTCTGCTCACGCCCTGAGACACAAGAAGATGTACAATGTTGTTGACAAATTCACAACTTGGACGATCCCAGTACATATACAATCGATATGCATAGTAGCCAAGCACACACATGGGTGACTTCGATGGGTCCAGGTACGCATTCAAAATGAATGCTTGGGATATTGATGGTCCGCGTCTTGGTCAAGTCGCGAAGTTCTGATGATCCACGTAACGGCACTGGCCGGCAACGGCTCCGCCCAGTGCTTTGGTGTGCCCAAGTGGGCATGATAGCAGGACCAGGCCAATATCCACGTCCACCTGGCAAAGCGACATTCGGTCTATCGAGTTGGGGCGCACAGTGGGGAACATGAAGGCCTCTGCACTTAAAGGCCAAAGTCCTGTGTAACGCGAAGAATCAAGGCCCCTGAAACTCTCACTGGTGATTTGCGCGGCCGTCTTCGCAAATCCAGAACTAACAAATGAGATATCAGTGTGAAACGATTAGCGACCTCAAACAAATTCCACTGGAACCCCTCACTCTTCTCGTCTGGCGCAAGCATTGCGCCTCCCCTCCGGGGCACTTGTCGCACTCGTCCACACCGACGCCGACATAGGCCACGTCTTGGAGAAAGGGCTCGCAATGCCCGGCGCGAGGCACTGAGAGGTGCCAATTGATGTGCCCAGTCACGTGGGCCCGCGACCTGGCGCTGGGAAAGGGTTGCTGTTTTCTGAATCCAGGCGCGAAAGGAAAAAAAAGACACGGCGCCCGGGAAAACCCAGGTGAAACATATATATATATATATATGTATATATATAACATGCCGACCCAACTGAAGCTTCTATCTACTTTTGACCGAAATGACCTGAAAAGGACATTTGCAGCGTGGTATATTGGAAGCCGGTTCCAATGGCTAGGCTTCGATTCAAACAGGAAGTTCATCTGTCAGTGGTCATGAACGCAAGCACCATCGAAGTCTTGATCGTTCATTTCAGCGGGCACGCAGGAGTCGCCGCCCTCGACAACTTTGACAACTTTTAGGAAACCTACCAAAGCCAAAGTCGTTGACTCAAACTCCAGCCCACCACTCCGCCACTTCCATTTGCCTAAGCCCCCTGAGAAAACAACAAACAACACATTTCCGGTGGTGATAGATTCCCTTTACAGCCGACAAAAGAAAATACCATATATATATATATTAATATAAATATATTCATTTCGGCAAACGGAAGGCCACTCGCCGCGGAGCACCAATTCTCGCCTTGGGCTTGCCAAGCGGCCCGCTGCCCCGGAAGAGGAAGCCGGAGCTCTGAAAGCCGCCTGCGGTCGGGCCCGGCTTCGTGGGCAGAACGTCCACATAGCCGCTGTCCCTCAGCGCGCGCGCGAAAACGGTCGCCTTTGTCACGCATCGAGAGACGCAAAAAATGCGTGTGACGTGGGAGTTCGGAGAGAAGGGGGGGTCATCTGCGCACGGAACACGCGGTCATCTGCGCACCCTATCGACAACGTGCCATTTTGGCATTCGGCGCGCATGATTTCCGGTCATCCGCTCATGGTGTCCGGCCATCCGGGGGGCGGGGGGGTGGGAAGCTTCGACGTTCACGCGAACCAACTCGCGCGGGTGGGTGGGTGGTAAGCGTCGGTGGGAAGGGGTTGTAAGCTTCAATGTTCACGCGAACCAAATCATGCACAACGTGGGGGTGGGGCTGGGTGGATGGCAAGCATCGGTGGGAAAAGGGGTGAGGGATGGGCAGGTGGGTGGGGGGGGATGGGGGGGGGGTGGTCTTCGATCTTCACACAAACCAACTCACGCATATTTGGAGGGATGGGGCTGGGTGGATGGCAAGCGTGATGTCTGGAAACTTGAACACCCCTTCCGGCTTCTGAGTTCCGGAACAATGCGAAACATCTTTTTTTTTGGCCCCGTGCAC